TCCCTGAGCAGCCTGTTCCAGTGCTCCGTCACCCTCAGAGGGAAGAAGTTCTTCCTCATGTTCAGACGGAACTTCCTGTGCGTGTGTACACGCACATGTGTGTACACGTGTGTACATTTTTGCACATAGACCTGTGCCACACGCAGTTGTGTAAACTCTACTCCATAAGCGTTCATAAGGCCAGTGGAGAGGATCGAACATGCAGAGAACTCTGGTTGGAGTTAATCATAGAATCAGAGAAACATTTAGGTTGGAAAAGACCTTGAAGATCATCAAGTCCAACCGCAAACCTAACACTGCCAAGTTCCACTAAACCATGCCCCTAAGTGCCACATCTACACATCTTTTAAACAACTCCAGGGATGGTGACTCTACCACTTCCTTGGGCAGCCTGTTACGGTGCTTGATAACCCTTTCAGTGAAGAAAGTTTTCCTGATACCCGGTATTAACTTCTCCTGGTGCAACTTGAGGCCATTTCTGTTATTCTATCACTTGTTACTTTGGAAAATAGACTGACCCCCACCTCACCACAACCTCCTTTCAGGTAGTTGTAGAGAGCAATAAGGTCTCCCCTCAGCATCCTCCAAACTAAACAGCCCCAGTTCCCTCAGCCGCTCCTCATCAGACTTGTTCTCTCCAGACCCCTCACCAGCCTCATTGCCCTTCTCTGGACACGGTCCAGCACCTCAGTGTCCTTTTTGTACTGAGGGGCCCAAAACCAAACACAGTACTCGAGGTGCGGCCTCACCAGTGCCGAGTACAGTGGCACAATGACCTCTGTATTCCCGCTGGCCACACTATTCCTGATACAAGCCAGGATGCTGTTGGCCTTCTTGGCCACCCGGGCACACTGCTGGCTCATGTTCAGCCGGCTGTTGACCAACACCCCCAGGTCCTTTTCCGCTGGGCAGCTCTTCAGCCACTCCTCCCCAACCCTGTAGCGTTGCATGGGGTGGTTGTGACCCAAAGGCAGGACCTGGCACTTGGCTCTGTTATTGAACCTCATACAACCAAACGAAACAACATTTGGTGATCACCAATTCACATACAACTGTTGCCTTTTATTAACTATTGATGAAAATGATCAAATATCGGAGATCCCAGCTTTTCACTTGAAGTCTTCTGTATTATTGGTGTATTGAAAGCTAAAGAAAAAGCAAAGGTAGCAAAGGCAAAATAAGCATGCAATATTTTTAATAACTTCTGAAAATGAGCTGAAGTGAATAATTCTGTGCAGTTGTTAAAGGAATAACATGGGGGATTTTGGTTTCTACTGGAGGAAGCATGAGTTTTGTTTTTCATATAAAAGGCAGTAATTTGTAATACAGTTTTGTTGATTAAGGCTTATAATCGCTATATCTTGCATGTAAATGTTGGTGAATGAAACATTGTCTTGAGCAATTTCTAAACAATTTGTTGGTTATATTTCAGAAATGATAAATTGTCAACAGCTTTTTTCAGGCTATTATAATTTTTACAGAGAAAATTATATTTTTAATCCTGCAGTAGTAACATATGGATCTCTACCAGAGCTCTCAAAATAATGTAGGTTTCAACAGTAACAGGTGCTTATGGCTAATGCTAGTCTGAATGATTTGAAGGCAATTCATAATGTCCAGAATTAAATTAAAACATGTACTAAAATGAAGCAACTCTTAGCAAAGTTCAACCCTGCAACCAGAAGATTTTATAGGAAGCAACTGGGAACCCTCAGGATGTACATCCTGGCCCTGGGAGAAGAAGGATTTTCCCTTTACCCTGGACGCAATTGCTATAGGATTTCATGGACGTGCTTCTACCTTTATGTGGTTTCACCAACTTATCCATATTTTATCAACTCACTGCCACCACCTTTTTTTCTGATCACTAAACCCTATATGCACCTATTCCCAAACCCATTCAAATCTTAATATTTTGCTGTGTTGTCTGTTGTGAGGAAAACAGTGTCCCAATTTGCACTCTAGTTATTTCAGCCTTAAATGGAGAAGGAAAGTGCCAAGGTCGTCCTGAGTTCACCTTCTGCCACTTCAGTGGTGAACCTGAATAAGAGAGAGACCCTCTCTCCTTTTCCTCACACGAGTTCATAGGTATCTAAGAGCCCACTAAATAATATAAGCTTGGTACAATTCCCCTTGGCATCATGTTGGTCTGGGGTTAGCTCAGCTGGATTTAAATAAAGTCCTGTAGCTCCATTTGATAATGAAAAATAGCATCTTTTCTATTTTAAAGACACTCTTTGTAATGCCTAGTAGTTGTAGTTCTATATATCTGTAAAGGTGTGTCTCACGGTATAAAGGTGGAACTTACTGAATTTTGTGCTTTGTTACAGCTGTTACAACTCTTATCATTTCCATTTCCAGTATAGTCATTAAGGTACCTTTTTAGAATCATTATGATTACTATACTTTTTTAATTTTTCAACAGTATAAACTCATTTGTTTGGAAACAGTAGTAGAAACCTTCTGAAAAAATACTCAGTTTCTAAAAACATACACAGTTGTTTTCATGTAAGTAAGTTGCTGTAGCTGGAGTCTGGAAGTGTATGTGGGTTTTTTGAAGCGTGTTTACAAATATCTCCCCATATCCATGCAGCTGTCATTATTTTATCTTTGACAAAATCAGAGTTATATATAAAGCTGGAGTATATAGCATATGAGCAGGTTGTAGAGGCTTCTGACATATTTGCTGAAAACTAATTAGAACATGTGCTGTTTCTGTGATTGCTTTGCATCAGGCCTCTGAATTTGGAGAGGAAAAAATGGTAAATATTTAGATTAACGCTGAGAGGACCTTTTTTCTGCCCTGAGCTATTTCTGGTTTTTAAGAACAGTAGGCTTGGATGTCTGCAAATGCTGTATTGTTTACAGTCAAACAGTGGATCAATACAATAATAAACACAGAACACTGAAGTTACGATTCCTGTTGATGGATCATGCATCTGAGGAAATCTTTATTATTAAGAAACTATGAAGGCCACTTACGGAGCACAACAAATAGCGTTTTTCCATTAGATTTCCCACATTTACACTGTTACTCTTGTATTCAATTAAATAAAACTGAAATCCACAGTATCATTTTAGATTAATATTTCATTTTGATGTTGCAGGGAAATGAGGATAATTTTTTTTCAAAGGTATGTGTGACAACACTGAGATAAAAACTCAGTGATCAGTGCCCACTGTCAAAGCTGAACTGCTTCATTTCAGCCTTCCCTTAATCTTATGCTTTGTTTCCTGTGCAACAGTTCATAAGCAATGTGGAGCCTGCTTTTTATGGATATGCAAAGTATTAGTCTTTTGCAGAATCTGATTGTCAGGGTAAAATCCATTCCTCCTTCTGCAGCCCAAATACTTGGGCTCATTGTGGGTGAACAAAAGAGAGCCTGGAAAAGAGCACATCTCTTGTCTGTCTTGGAAAACCGCATCGCCCTTTCATGCCACTTGAGTGAGGGATTGGAGAAAGCAAATGCCCAAGCAAATACTTAATGTATTTTCCCTGTGCCTCATAATGACTTAAACAACTGTGTGCTGACCCTGTAAAAGCATCCATAGAATTGACTACGGTTGTTAAGTTTGGGATTCATCTGCCAAAATGTGAACGTATATAGCTGAGCTCAGCTTCAGCTGTCATTATAATAAAGGGAGACCTAGATGTTGGTAGTTGAGGGAATATCCTAGAAAGCCTGTGTTTATACTCTAAGTGTGCCTAATCCCCACCCTCCACACACACCCTTCCATTTTTTCTTGCTCACGTGTAATAGCAATTACGAACCCCAGCGCTTTTATAAAGTCACTGTCTAATCTGTTCTCTAAAAATAAACAATACATTCATATAGAAAAAGAGAGAGAGAAGCTAGGCTTGAATTAGAGGTCATAGATTCAGGATTAATTTAGAATTTGGCAGTTGGCTCCTATAAGATTGGCAAGGAGATTTCCAAAAGGCGGCAACTGTAAATTGGAAATAAATGGAAAAGGATTTTGTGAGTGGGAGATGGCTTTGGGTCTATAATACATATCTTGAGACTGACTTGCTCATAAAAAAGCATGTGTTTAATGTGTCCTAAAAATATTTAAGCCACATCAATCTTTGTATAGATACTTAATTTTTAAGGTTGGATTCTAGAGTGGCTAAAAATGAATTCAGCATGCATATCCTTGCCATCAGTATGAAGAATAAAAAAAACTGGATTTTCTTTTTCACATTCCAGACTCATGTTCTTGGAAGACGTTTTATGTTGTCTTTTGTGTCTAAAAAAAATTTTTAGTCCTTGCTATATCATCTGTTCTGTTATGTGGTATTGCTCTGAGAGAAGCTGTGGATCTGTCGTATTAGGAGGTAGTTTGGAGGCAAAGTGAGTCGCTGCCAAGAAGGCATTCATGTATGAGTATGTGAATTTGAGTGGGTGACTGAGATGTCCAGAAGGGGCACTTGTCTGTGTTCCTTCAGCTACTGCTGTTCCAAAGGTGGTATATGTCTGTAAATAAAGCAAGATGTATTTTGAATGTGCCCATGTTCTGCATCATTAGTTTTTTCACTGTTGGGAAACTAAACTGCAAGAATCTGAACATGTACTACCATCTGGCAGCTCAAGTGGCTCAAGTAAGGAGTGACAGCAGTTAGAAAAGACCACCTCTGAAGTATCTGTTTTTCTTTCTGATATTTTATTTAACTAAATACAGTAATCCTAATTTAGCTCAAAAAGAATTTAGCTCAACGTTAGTGTCATGTCTAGGAAATGGTCTCTAGGGCTTTAAGAAACCATTTAGTAATGACAGAGGAAGAGGGAAGTACGTGCCCAGAGCTGCACACACCGCATCACGCTGTAGGAACACGTGGCTAATGGCCCTTTTGGATGTATTATAAACTGCTGCCTGAGTCTGTACTTCCCCCATCTGTAACAGCCTGTGAAATACAAATGAGTGCTAACTTCTCTAGTGCCACTCTAGTGCACAAGAATTAGACCTCCTTGGGGATGATTGTTTGACATTATTCCTCACAGGTGAGATCTGTGCTTTTAAAATCCATGGACAAGAAATGCCCTTCGAAGCTGTTGTGCTAAACAGGACATCTGGAGAAGGTCATCTTCGAGCAAAAAGTCCCATTGACTGTGAAGTGCAGAAGGAATACACATTCATCATCCAGGCCTACGACTGTGGATCAGGACCAGGTGGAACAAACTGGAAGAAGTCTCACAAGTGGGTGAAAATGAGAAATTTTTGTTGCTGTGGTATACATTTACTCTACAATGTAGATCAGATTGAAGGGCTCCTTTTAATATTGTTGTCAGGTTGAAAGCAAATAAAACCCAAGATGAACCATTGTTGCAATGGTCCATCCACTTTTTATTCCTTTTTTCTTTTAGAAAATATTTTTCTTCTTTGCCTCCTGCAGTTTGACCCATTCTGCAGTGGTGCCAGTTGAAGTTTTTAATAGGATCCTAGTTCAAGTGGAGAAGTGCATCTCAGTTTTGGTTTATTTTTCCATTGTTGCTGTCATGTGAAATACATTGGCTAAGCAGATCATCCAGGACATGGAAGCTAGCTTTTAATCGATACGTACAAATTCTAAATAGGTTTTTTCTCTATTCATCTCATTTCAAATGGTAAGAAAAGGGAAATTGACCTCTTTTTTCAGTATGTGCATGTGTGTAAGCTGCAGCAGGTTGCCTTGGCACAGCGCGTTTCTGACCTCGGCTTTTGGGTAGCAAGTCTCAGAGGAATAAAAATCCTCTGGAAGAGGCAGGTATTGAAGTTTGGCAGGTGGTACTGTTTACTATTTAGCCAATTCCCTGCATAAGCCTAAAAGGCACAGTGCCTTTTTTCCCCTTCAATTCATCAAACCAAGCTCCAGACCATTTGTCATTAAAGATGAATTTAACACACATGTAGATTTGCAACTGCTGTACAAATTGTTCATTTTGCTGAGACCCATTTAAATAAATGATTAATAGTAATCATTCTTCCTTTTGCTCATCCAGAACACATAACAATTAAAAATTTAATTAGCTCTATAATGCGTGCTGAACTTTTCCAGGATATTTAAAAAGAATACACGTTTAGAAGAAAGCCTGCAACATCAAATAACCATCAGAATAACAGAAACAGTTTTTGCTTTGTATTACGATATTTTATGATGGGTTTCCCTCACATGCCAGTAAGAAGCTAGTACATCCCACTTGTGGAAAATTTTGGTCTAATCCTGACCAGATCAAATCTGGCTCATTGGGACTAAACTTTGTCACACGGTCTTGCAGTGGTTTGTATAGTAAACCACACAGTAAGCTAGGCTGTCTTGGGTCCCAGCCTTTGCTACTGGCTCTGCCGTTGACCTAGAAAGTCCCTTCACTTCTCTGTCCCTCTGTCACCTTGCATATCAAACCAGATAGCAAATTCTTTCAAAGGAACGCCTTTAGAGTTTGCTCATTAAATATGAAAAGCCTGTTATTTTTGACCCTCAAAGGTTTACATGTGCAATGTTATAACTAAAGGATTAGATAATTGTAATCAGCAGAATGCAAGAGCCTTGTTTATTATCGAAGAATGTTCATAAACTGACGATTTTTAGGTAGTGAATGTGTAAGACTAGTGTAATTCTCTTCCTCTGTTTTTGCTTAGTAACCCATTTTACACTGGAATGATACCATTCACTTTCTGCCGCGTTTTAAGAGGCAGACCGATTTTAATAGGGAACCATGAAGCCCTCTCCCTGCGACCTGGGGCAATAGGTTTATACTTAGTTCTACATTAGGATACTAAATTGGGCAAATGAAACATAGACATTGTGTAATAACTCATTTTAGCAGATGTTCACATAGTTTTGTACATATATTTTGTTAGTCTTTTGAAGTGTTTTGGAAACAAACTGTTAGTGATGTGTCATGATAAATTAATGTTTCTCTTTGATGTCTTTTTTTACTTATTTTAGGGCAGTGGTCCATATACAGGTAAAGGATGTCAATGAGTTTTCACCAGCTTTCAAGGAGAGTGTGTACAAGACCACCGTGACAGAAGGAAAGATCTATGACAGCATACTGCAGGTAGAAGCCATAGACGAGGACTGTTCTCCACAGTATAGCCAGATCTGCAATTATGAAATTGTCACAACTGATGTTCCTTTTGCTATTGACAGAAATGGTGAGTATGGAGAAGGAGCAATTGTAAGTTCTGAGACAGATAGCAGGAATTGCTGTAGATAGTGCAATTACCTATTGATACTAGCTGATAACCCAGCTGGAGTTTTAACTGAAGAGGGTAATCCTGTTCTTTTCTCTGAGAATGAAGGAACCTTTACACTGGGAGATTCCATCCCTTTTACGTAAGATTTGGTCAGAAAGTGCCACAGTAATTTACTGTGGAACTTAAATTTTAGTTTTTAGGTGAGCAATATCTTTCTCTGTCACTCAGTCCATTCTCTCAGCTGTCTCAGATGTAGTTTCGCATCCAAGTGGTGGCATTTTTCTAATGCAGCGTGTAGCCCTACCTAATAGGGTTTATTCACTGGTTTATAGCTAGTCCCGTTCTTCAGAACTTTCTGGAAACGAGACTAAATGTAGAATTGACGGTATTCTGCATATGTTTAATGACTGTTAAAACCGTCAGGGTGTGGGTCCACAGAGCTACCCATTTGTGGTGCTTCCTGAAGCAGAACCATTATTCTGTAGTATGGAAGAAAATACGCTTTGGAGAAGCAGGTTGGTTTTATATGGTTTTTTATTTTAGTTGTTTTTCTAATCTATATAATTATTAATAAATATTAATAATATTAATAATTAATCATTAATGCTTAATTATAAAGGATTTTTTACAGGAAGGGAGCATCTGGAAGTAGATGTTTGTGTGCAACCCTAGAAGCTTTTCCTCCCTATGGATTTTTTTTCTAATTGTGAGATTTCCCATGTTGTCACAAAAGGAAGTTCTCTATGTTACTGTAAACTGTTACTTTCCCAGAGCTCCATGTGACTTGCCAGTATGGGGCTGGTTATCACAAGTCACAGGTGGTTTCATAATTTCATACCAGGTTTATGACAGATGTAATGGATTAGCATGATACAGAACAGGTACTTCTGCTCCGATCGCACAGTGCAGCTGGCTCATGAGTGGTCATGGGCTTCTCAGTCAGAGGCATGATCAAAAGCATGTGAAGTGTCAGGAATCCTTTGCTACGTCTTTGTCCTCCTGTGCCTGGGACTTGCTTTTCAGCAAAAGCAATGAGAAAATCATTGGTCTGAATATGACTTTAAAGCCTGCAGTTGAATAATGGCATAAGGTTGTAACACTCGCAGTTCGATGGTCATGAATTCAATTAATATTTTTTGATCTATTTGTTCAGTAGAAGAACAGTGCTGCCACAGTCAACAGTAACTGCGGTCTAATTTGCATTTTTTTTAGATAATGGTAATTGCTTAAACCCAGTGGGATCAGAGACAGAATTAAGATAGATGGTTGCGCTTTTACCTTGTGACAGAAATATGTTGCTTAGTTGCAGTATATTTCACTGCTGAGAATGTCTCTCTCTGCCAGCTGATACAGACTTTCTCTGGTGCAAATTTTTAAACATTGTGACCATTTTTGTTATCTACAGGATGATATAAATAGATGTATGAGATGCCTGGGACTGTCTGTTAATACTGTGCTGATTAGGATTTTGTTTATAGGGTTTTTTACCCATTGTGAAAAACAAATCTAGGTTCTCGTGTCTTCTGCAAGTTATAATTTTTTCTGCTTTTCGGTAACATAAGTGTGGAATTTCATTGCCCAGAAAGAATATTTAACCCGATGCTTAGAATCAAATACAAATATCGCAGAGGGCCCCAAAAATAGGGTATGTGTGAGGAAAACTTGCCATTATCAGTCCCCGATGGTGGACTTTTTTCATCACCGACCTATGAAACTAACCACAAACACAGGCCTTTCTAAAGGTGAACGTGCCATTCCATCGGTTTTTTGCTTCTGGCAGATCACTGCCTTTTTAGGCAAAACTTATTTCTTGTATCTAGATCAAGCCAGGGAGCATTTTGTTGTCTTGAAAAATTATGTTGCTCATTGGGGAGCAGGTGCAGAAAGCAAGAGAGACCCTTCCAGACCGTAGCAGTGCACAGCCTACTTTGCATCACCAAACTGTACGAGGCGTAAGTGGCTGGGCACCCGGCACTGGCACAGGAAGCAGCGTTACACTTGGGTGTAGTGCTTGTAGGTCTTTCTAAGTTAGGCACCTAAAGGTAGGTAGTGTAAAGCTTCTCACCTACATTTAGCAGCTTTGACCCTGGTATGGAATTTCTTCATGAGTAAAATTACATTGGGAAAAAAAAGAACTGGGACTAAAGGTATACGTTATAACATGTTTTGAGAGACTTTTGTGTGCAGTTCAGTCTGGTTGTCTTCTTCCCAGAGAATCCAAATCATCAAGTCAGTTATCGTATCAGTATTGTGTAGACTTTTTTCAGGTAACAGAAAAATTAAAGCACAATGCATGGATCTCTTGTAATGCCAGCAGAACAACATTTTTATGCGTTTTCTGCCTTTGTTTGTCAGGGATCATGGTCAGATGATCAGAGAATTCAGACATAGATACAAATTCTGTCATGGCTCTGACCTGCTTGCATCTCTGAAATGAGATAGCTTTATTTGCCACCCACCACTGGGAGGCACTTCACAAATACATGTTCAGATTGTTCAGTATGAAGATGAGTTACTGACTTATCTGTCCAGTCAGTACAGGTTCTATCAAGTTAGATATCGTTGAAAATAGATGTGGACAAAATCTCACAAGGTCATCCTTTACAGCACTGAGTTCTATGTTAGGAGCGATGCAAACTTCATATTGTCAGAAAAGTAGTGAAACTTTATAGCTAAGCATTTGCATGGGATATTTATTTATTTATTAAACCACAATTTTTTCTGTTATCATTGAAAAGTTCACCTTTTTGACAAGAAGCAATTCTAATCCTTCAGTTGACTTATGGTCAAATACAGCTCCTGGTGGCTCTTGGCAGCTGGGGACATTGAGCTGCAACTCCTGTGAGGAGACTGCAGTCAGAGTAACAGCGCCAGCCCTCATCTCTTGTAAGAGTTAGGAGATTCAGTTTTATCCTGCTTAAACACACAGGAAGTAAGTACGGAATTTAAGAGGGAATTGCCATAGTAAGTTAGTGAAGTCTTTCCCCGTTCTTGTGACCATTCCAAAACAAGATGAAAGACAGCCATAAAAGGGGGAAGTCTGTATCAAACTATCCCCAAAACTGACCCTGAAGAAACAGAGGTGTAAATGTGTGTGTCCTCCGGTAGGAATTTTTTATATTCCTGTAGTCACTTACCTGTTCAAGATTTTTTTTTTTTTAAAGCTGTTATAGCTCTGGGTATTTCCAGAAAAAAGGCAAAGATTTAGAAAGAGTGAAAAAAAAAATTTAGTTTCATGGCCTAATTGTGAGCTGTGTAGAAAAGTACTTACTTCTCCCATTAAAATTTTATTTTTTTAATATTTGTGAAGACGTTTGGTCTATGGGTAAGATGTAAATAGAAATTCTCAGTCTGTCGTCTCTGAAACTTTAATTACTCCGCTTTTATAGTGCTCCCCTTCTGTGTCTGCTTTTTAATCATATTGATTAAATTGTAAAATAAAAAGCATAAAGCATCAGAGGTAACAGAAAAATAGAATAATTAGGAAATAAATAAACCATTATGTAACATCTGCAAGACATCCAAATGATCTTCCAGAATAACACGTAATAGAATCTTTGTAGTCCAAATCTTAAAAGACCATAATGGAATACAAATCTTGGAAGACAGATTTAGTGAAATGCAAATATGTTGTAATGATTTATAACTCTTAAAGGACAGTTAACGTGCCATGCAAATTCTAGCAGTCTCAGACAACGTTGGTTTCTTGAGAAGTATCTCTGCTGATCATGGGCTAAAATAATACCAAGAAGAACCAAATAGGGAAATACAAAAATTCATGTTAGGAATAATGTAATGCAAAAAGGAGAGAACAGCTGAGCAGATACTAAATTAATAAGTAAGTATACAGTGGCAGTTTTTCATTAAATCCTCTTAGGCAGGTAGTAATCAAGCAACTTGAGATAGTAAAATAGGTAGATTAAGTTGTTTTGCCAATTACTAACTCAAAAATAATGAAGTAGTTGATATCATTGTTGCGGTTCTTTTGTGATGGGAAGAGCTGTCTACAATGTCAGACTTGAAAATGCCTAGCAAGATGAGGGGCCTGAGAAAGAGAACCAGTGAAGCTGTAGGACACAGTTTCCATCTTAGCCTTCAGCAGGTCCTTCTGCTTCTCCATTTGAGATATAAAAATAGTGACAGGGCTCATCGTCCTCATTGTCCTCTGTGCCATGCTGAGAAAGGGAGGGGTAAAGGCACGAAGCAAACAGAAAATGGGCTACTGGGACTGATTTATAGCTGGAGATGTAAAGGTCTATTTAAGCTACAAATTTTGAACCAGAAGTTGGTGATAATTGCAAAAGCAGCCTTCCTTCAGGCCTGGCCTGCAACGTTTTGCATCAGTTTCAATTAAACTAGTAAAGCTGACTTTAATGTAATAGTAGTCAGAAACATCTTGGACTCTGACAAGATAAGGAGTGTGCATCAGAGAGACACCTGCTAGAAGTCTTTACTTGTCAAACTAATGGAGGTTTAGTGAAAGACTTTTTAAAGAAGTTGCATTTGTCTGCTTTCACCTGTCTTTCATTCTTTTGAACAACAAAAAAAGGCCAAACCCCCAAGCAATGCCAGCATGCCTACAACAGATACTGTGACCAGCACCTATGGGAATCAGATCACTGCATTTGACTGAATTCCAGGATTTGGGTCCTTCCTGTTTCAAATTTAGCTCAAACAATTTTGCAGATCCATGCTTGAAAGCAGTTGTTACATGTAGTGTTCATCCAGAGTAAGTTTGTTCCTTGGATTCTAGACCAGATATTCAAAGAGATGGTGTAACAAACAGCCCTGAGCAAAATCGAGAAACATATTAAACAGTCTCAAGTTTCAGTTTAAGCAAGAAGTACATTTCAGTGGAAATGGAGAGAATTAAAATCCTGAACTCTAATTACAAAAACGTACATTCCACACAGTAATCTTCCAGTCCTGCAGAAAGTACTCGGAGAAAGATCTTTCCCTTTCCTTGTGAAAGTTGTAATGTCTTTGTTCCTGAAACGGGTAATTTGTCACCTTTATGTATGAGTCACATTCAGCAGATAGTCTCTGTTGTTGCTGAGTTTTATTTTCCGTGTGATTACTCTGTCCCGTCGTATAAAATACTGCTAAGCACTCTAACGCAGAAAGCGATTCTGGGGCTTTTCCTATTTTTAAAACCCAGGGAAAGATGTGAAAGGGCTAAAAACCTCACCTAAAAGGTAACAGTTTCAGGAAGAAAAAAAAATAAAAAGAAGGTATTTAGGCAGGGGAGATGTTCAGCAGTGGATCTCAGGAATGTGGCTGCCATGTTAAAGTATATTCTGGGAAGATGTGCAAAATGAAGTTGCACCTACTTATGCTTTGCATTTCAAGATGTAACTGAGAATTTACAGTCTTACTTTAGAAAGTGTTGTTGAGCAGGTGTTTTCTAATGTAGACATGCCTGTATTATATGCCTAACATCTTATGTTTGCCTAAGAACTACTTTATTTCTCTGCTGGATTGGAAGAAAATACTTCGCCTTCCTCGTAACTGTTCTGCATTGGGATGTCCTGTGTGCTTCAAAGAGTTTTCTGGTCACAAAGGACTTGATTAACCACGACCCAGATGTTATAGTCTGTATATGCTTCGTCAGGAATAAATTTCTGAATATTATCTTGTTTTGAATCTGTAGGTAACATCAGAAACACTGAGAAACTGAACTATGATAAACAACACCAGTATGAGATAATGGTAACAGCTTTTGACTGTGGGCAAAAACATGCAACAGAAGATGTCTTAGTACAAGTTAATGTCAAACCAGTGTGTAAACCAGGCTGGCAAGGTAAGGTTAAATAGATCATATATTTTAATTTTTTGTTTAAATCTCTTTTCTTTGGTGTTTTCCCTCTACCTCACAGTAAGGGAACTAGGGTGCTTATTGGAGCAGTATGAAAAACTATTGCTATTTCTTATGCTTACTTCATTCCAAGCCTGTTCAAAAAGTGGATAATAACCCCATATGTGTTTACATTTGCCATGTTTCTTCTCTAGTCAGAACAAAGAACAGATTAGAAAAAAGAAAAAGGACAAATTTGTATTCTAATAAGATACCTTATAATTCGGTCTGAATATACTGAAAGGTTAAAAAAATGCTTCTGGTTTGCCTTTCTCCTACTGCTCCTTTAAATAAAATTTTTGAAGCCATCATGACAAAGTACTTTTTTCATGTGTGCCAGAGTTGCTCAGATTATCTTGTTCCAGGTACAGAATTGGCTTTCACATGCATGTATGCATGAGTCAAGGCATGCTCAACCAGCAGTGGGAGTGAAAGGCATTTTTTTATCCTGATTACTGTCTTCATATTGACACTTCAGTAGGAATTTATTTTCTAAAAAGGTTGTAAGGATCTACAGTCTACTGTCTGAAATGGATAAAACCTCAGCAGGCAATGTACTAGGATAATAGATATGCCACAAATTACAGTGAATCAAGATGAGAATGAAGGCTGGATTAGGGACAAACCAACTGGATGTAACCACATTATGCAGATGTCATTCAGGACTAACCTGACCTTCATAACTAATTTTTAAAGAGAATGATTGAGAAGGAAAATACCAGTTTTGCTGTTGTACTTGAAGGTAAATTTGGAGACTGACATTTAGAAGGAAAAAAGGTTTTCTGTGTAAAATGAGAAGCCGTGGTCTAGAGGACCTTGTAGTGAAGTGTGTGCAATGTCATGATTGCATTTTCACAGTCGTCACTTAGAGCAGAACCACATTTTCATTTTGCAGGGATGTGCTACTTACGCACCCACCCAAGTATTTTGACGAGCATTTTTATTTAAAAAAATGTAATACCTATGAACTATTTCCACATTTTCTAGCTGATCTTATTGTTCAAAACCCCATGATGTATTCTATAAAACCAATATGGTCTCTTTACACCATGGAAACGTTCTGTTTCCATTTTATGGATAAATAAATACTCCTAAATTAGCTTGGAATTTGTATTAAAATGGATACAATTGTTGATTTTTTTCAACTCCATGTTATTTCCATTTACGTATTTTATTGATTGAATAATTTTTTAAAAGATACCTTACTAATGGTGTCTTTATATTGCCCAATATCATCATAGTTCAAGCATCAGTTATTCCCTTCTGATTTGATAAAGTTTTATGGTGGGTCTTTATCACAAGCAAAGTAAAAAATATGAAATAGCTCAATATGTTCTGCTCTGGCATATCGCATGCCAGCCATGTGGAATTGTACTTTTAGGTCTGTCAAACAGGTGCCTCCTTCATTTCATTGGCATGCCTCCCGGTCAAATGGCACAAAGTGAGAGTGGACAGTGTTTGCCTACTCAGCGCATAAGGTCTTTAGGTAAACAAGTGGGTAGATATTACTTTAGTACTTAATTACCAAGTCATTAATTATTTGAAAATGAGCTGAAATTTCTGCATTTCTCTTACTGAGATTTTTGTATGCCTACTTATTTTTAAAGATGAAGATAATCACATAGGTGCTGTCGTTTTCTGTTTTGAGCCAGTATCTGTAATAATTAACTGTTGCTAGGAACAGATGAAAAGCAAAACTTACTTTCAATAAAGAGGAAATCTGGTGACTGGAAATGGAGGATAGTTGTAGTAGTGTTTTTCCTCCTGTGTCTCTGACCACCCCATGAAGAGGCAGCCAGAAGGTATGCTCCGTCTTCTTTGAAATAATGATGTATTTGAAAAGACTAGATGACTAATTTTGCTTGACAGAAAATATTAATGTTCTGAGCCTTTGGTTATGATATAGAAGTTGCCGAAATACAGTACATGATTTTTTTTGTTGTTCTTCAGGGTTAGCCTGAACAAAGAAATACTTGGAATTTCAATTTATAGCATTGGCAGTTAGTTCTTAAAAGTTACTTGCTTCAGTAATCTGAAATATTGCGCAGTTCTTTCTGTGACTAGGGATTGTATTAGTGTAGTGCAAATTCAGTGTTAAAAATTTCAGTGCAATGAATTTCAGTGCAGATCCCCTTCAAATAGCCTCCATTGTGCAGGAATGGGACAGGGAAGAACAGGTTTACATAAAAGAAAATTATTCCTGTTTCTAGAGGCTGACTCCACATGACTGACATACACAGCAAAGCAAATAAGACTCAACAAGGCAAGGTGCTATCCTTTAAATAATATTCCCTTAGGCTAATAGCATTTAAGTCTTCATTAAATCTAGGAGCTACTTCACTGCTCTTTGAAGATGGACATAAATATACAATCAGCAAGCATTCCCACACAGACATTTTCAGCCAACAGCAAGCCTCCACTCTATTCCGAGGCTACTTTAGAAACAAACTTGATCCAAACTGACATCAAACCATACTGAGCAGACTACTCTGAAATGTTATGAGGGTCCTCAGGAAGCTAAAAATGTAAATCAATGAACTGAATTAATTCCCAGTCACTTATTTTAATTGGAAATTCTCATTAGTGAGTATTGTCAACTGACTTTTACAGCTATGCTCTAAATTTTATTCATGCTGTCTGTGTGTTAATTTCCGTGATTTTCAGACAATGGAGTAATCACTACCATGTAAAGAGATTACATTAGAAAGAAAAGCTAGATGATATTATTTCTGACACCACAATGGTTAGATCTGCATTTGAAGTTATTTCTGTTTTTTGTTTAAATTTTTTTTAAATACGATTAGTGGGTTTCAATACTAAGAAAAACGCTGTTACCTCCAGGGCTCTGCCTCTGTTTTAGTTCCACAGACACAGAGCAGACACTACACTTTTTCCTGTAGATTCACTTACTGTAGTGAAAAGAGCAACACTGTAGTTTTAACATCACAAATACCGATTTCTGTAAAGTTACTTCTGCCTTATTCAAAGCACAGTAGACAGACTTCTGGTTATACAGCACTAAATATCCAGATAGTATTTTCATTAAAAACATGAAGTAAAATGGAATCAGAAACCTGTAATCTGGACCGCGTTTCCTGTAGCTCATTTGTGGTACCATAATACTGTCATTTCTCATTTCTGTGAGTTTTAGGAACAATCTTCATAAACCTGAAGTTAGTCCCCCCTAGTGGGAAAACAAATGGAAATAAAATATAAAACAATATGCTGAAAGACGCAAGATAGCAGAAAATGGAAAACAATTATTCCAGTACCAAGCTTTCCAGTTATGGGGAGAAAACAAGGCGTTTAGCCTCAAAAAAGGAAGGGCAAAATCATGTCCCCGAAAACTTACGATATGTCCCCAAAAACTTATAATATGTTTTGGGACTTCTAGAGGTCTGCTCAGCTATTGACAATTAAACCAAAACTCAGGTTGTTCCCTAAAATGGGGTTGATTTCAGACAGGAAGCAATTGGAGGCATAAGCCAAAAAAGCTCCTCTAAACTGATTAGCTTCATACCCCTATAAAGTGTCAGAGGACTCTGCCTTTTCTGAAACTAACAGGGAACATTGAATGTGTTTCTTGGGGAGATAAGTATGTAGTAAAGACAACAATCCAAAAATTAAAAAGTCACATTGTCTCCTTTGACCAAAGAGGACCGAATTTTTTTCTGCCAAATTTAATATGGCCCTTGCATAAACAATGCTCACTAACCTCCAGTTTAGAAGGAAATTAGGACTCTGATTACAAAACAGGATTTCACAGCATCCAGCCTGAAGTGTGTTACTGATTTCAGAAGATTTACTACACTTACCTTCAGGTCCTATGAACCCATATACACACTTAATTTAATTACCCAAGGTAACAATATTAAGAAGTTCCTTAAAAATTCATCAAAAAAAAAAAAGATGTTCTGTAAAAATTTAGTGACTTTCCACTTAGTCTTTGCTTAAAAATACTTTTGAAATAAAAGCTTCTCTGTTTATTTACTTAATAGACTATAAAAATACTTAATAAGAGTAGTTAGTGTATCAGAGATGTTGCATGTTACTTTAAGGCATGTATTACTAAGGTGACCTAGGGCTTTGCTACCACCAAAAGGCACATTCTCATCACCTCTTTAATGTTGAATAATCGTTCAGAGGCCACGTACAGATCAGATCAGCTTGCTTTTCCTGCTCAAATACAATCTTTCTTCTGTTCAGAGAAGGGCAAGACCTTCTCTTAGATCACTTCTGAGTCAACATACTTCATAGATGCTATTTGCAGTAGATGCTGAGTGATTTTAGAATGGTATTCATGAGGGCTTTCTAGTAAAATCCCATTACAGAGGAAAACCAAAACTATTGGCTTTAGAGCTGTCAGTGCTTTCAACAAGGACCAATATGATTACTAAAGCAATTGGTTATATGGAGGAGGGTGGTCAAGTATAGAAACCTTGTTTGGAAGAATAATATTCCTAGTCCTCAGGAACAAATTTAAGGGCATAAATACTTACTGCAATAATGTAAATCAATTTCTATTCTTCTTGGGCGCATACCTAGCAGTTTAAAATGCAATGCTCGTGCTGTCTTAGCTATAAGATATTTACCCATATTTTAAAAGTGAAGTTTATTGCAAAGCAGGGAGCCTTTATGCCAGTCTGGTCTTGGAGCTGCTGTGCATGCATTAGCCATACATCCTTAACACAAGGTAATCATAATGAAATGCATAAATCAGCTATTAACTTGAATGGCACCATTTTAGTAGACTACGCACTCTTTAAATACCCATTTCAGACACTTGAAAATTAATTGAACGTCTGAGTATTTTTGAGCTCAAATTTTACAAAAGTTCATACTTGTTTATGTACTTGTATCAGCATTATTTTTGCTTTTGTTTGACTACCAGATATACATATTTAGACAAAGCAGTCATACCTGTTTCAGCCTCATTTTTAAGATAG